ATGACCCTGGCAATCAAGATGTCATAAACATGGCAGGACAGAATAGTGATATTATTTTGGTCGATCCATTCCAGCCATGTGTTTGATGTAATATTTTCACACAGCCAGATATAAACCAAAGATAGCAATGACTGTCTGTCTTGGTATTGAAACTATATACAGCACATAAATATAAATTTACAGATTCATGGAAAGTACTCAAACAACAAAAACATTTCACTGTGTAGCTGTCATCAGCTGGGAGCTACACACTGAGTAAATTTAAATTTACATAAAATGTATCAAAACATTCAGAACTTCAATAAAACTAATATTTGTTTTCTCCTGTTTTCTTCCTTTCCAAACACTTCATGATGAGAGGATTTTATACTCAGCACATCAACCCTTATTCTCCATAGGATTCTCTGACTCATGGTGTAGTAAGATATTTTCAGTCTGCCTGCATTCTACTCGCCATCTGCACACACAGATGAGTCTCTGGCGTCCCTGCTCAGAGTCACTATCGCTGCAGTGACTGCTGGAGTTGAAAGTGATCCAGAATGCAACACTACAGCCAAGTTGTGGCTGCTAAGATTATCAGCGGCAGCAACAATGAAAGCTGCCCAGCCCAGACCTCAACATCACTGCTGACAGGCTGTGGAAACACAGTCAAAGCAAACAATGGCCTTCACCAGTCCACCAGCCATGACAAAGTCAACAACCCATGCCAGGACTGTTCTACTGAACATGCTCAGCAGATTTCTGTCTGGATCATATCCTGGCTCAATAAGTCAATCCAGGTCTTTATGTTCATAATTACTGCACAACTGGTTCCATTAGAAAAAACACTGCTCTGATTCTGCAGTAGCATACTGTTACCTACTATTTATGAATAAGCAATAACTCGAGAAACTAACATGGAGAGAAAAAAACATGAATTTTCTCTTATGATTTTGGTATTTTACTCTGAAAAGTGTTGCTGTTTCACCAAAACAAAAGCAAGTGATAAAAAAGAATGATATCCAATAACTCGCCATGCAAATATTTGAACTGGGAATCTTTATGGCACTTTTTTATGTTGCTGCAGTATATCAACTTACCCTCTAGCCAATGATGTGTGCCCTTCACCTATTTCTGCAATGCCACACACACACACACACACACACACACACACACACACACACACACACACACACACACACACACACACACACACACACACACACACACACACACACACACACACACACACGGCTGCCACTTCACAAGCATGCTGCACTTTCTGGCACCTCTCCAAAGAACTGACCTACGGCGAGAGGCGTCTGTGGGGGGAGAAGCTTTTTTTAATAATGCTTTTTTCTTTTCATCTTTTAAATTCATTAATAAAATACTGAGGACATTTCAAAACTCTATATTATACTTTAGCATTATACAAACAAGTTGCATAATATTTGGAATATTAAAAGGAGATGAGAATGTTTTTTTTCCGCTGTAAGATATTTCAAATGCCCGGTGCATTTGAAATGTAATAAATACAATTTGATTCAAATACACTTTGAATTAAGAGTGGAGTGAACAACAGCTCTGACTAATGCACATAAGGCTTGCTTCTTTTGTAACCAGTTTGTTTGATTAGATTGAACAAAATATTTGGCAGTGATTATTACCTGCAATGTAATGTAATACAGAGTAATATAATGTAATTTAATGTAATCATCAATCAAGTCAGAGCAAAAAGGCTTTCAGACTAAAGGGCTTTATCAGAGCTCCTGCTGACATTGTGGATCTTTCCTACGTGTAAACCTTTAGCAGAAACTGACAGTATTGATGAAGAAGGCCCCTTAAGTTTATTTTCTGCAACGTGGGGAACAAAGCCATCCCAGTAGACCCAGTCTGCACAAACTGCAGATATGGAGGACAATCCCCAGCTGAAACACCTCAAATGAAGTTCCAAATTGAGTACCTTCAAAGTATCAGTGGTGCAAAACACATAATGATGCTGCAGGATGATGAACTTAAAGAAAGTGTGCGGGCTGCAGCTACAAATGAAATAGTCATCTGTAAAATGTGCCCTTTTTTAATCTGAAAGGTTTGTTTTCTGGCATCTGTTAGCAATAGGCTTGCATCTCAAAAACTTTTATTTCTTCGATTATTTCAATGGCACAAGAAATCAAAAATATATATTAATCCACCCTATCTGCATTTACCTATCTATCTATCTATCTATCTATTATTAGGCTATATCAGTCAGTGCATGCATTCATGAACTTTAGGATCAACACACAATGCTTCTGGACAAATGCACAGCAAACTTGTGGCCTACTTTCCTGATAAAGTTGTAGTATGTGGCATGGCACCATGTCACACACTGTTAGTCTTCCAGAAAGCCACATGGACCCACAGTGCCTGGGGCCAAACTGGCGCCATCCACTTCCTGGGCACAGGCAGGCATGAGCACACCAGCTCTATTTATAACCTCTTATTAGAGCGGGCTGTTTTTAAATGAGGCTGGAAAGATAAGACAACACGGGAAAAGAACACTGTACCTATCAGCAAATGGGACTGTTATGTGTAGCAGGAAGAACACTTTAAACACTTCAAAGTCATGTTTAAAGGAGTTTGCGGAAAACACATAGATTGACATTATTCCTCACAGCCTGAATAGCTTTAGAAAGGCACCCTAAACAGGAAACAACAGTCAAACTGAGTCTGAAAGGGTACGCGGTCCCTTTAAGAGATACAAACTAATCACCTACTTCCTGTTGTCCTCGTTAGCACTAGCATCACGACTCAGATAAATTATGAAGGAAAGAATGAAGTTATTTAAAAAAATACATAAAGTGTTACTGACATTATAAAATACGGTGTCTTAAGGGAGTTTTAAATTTTTATCCCGTAGAGTTTCGCGGTAACGTTATGGCAGGGACTGGGAGAAAAAGAAAGATGCTAGCATTGACAGTATTAGCAGCACCTGAGCATAAAGACGGGATGGATTTGAAACTAAAAGTGTCTCACGACAAGCTGAAGAAGCCCATTCAAAGTGAAAAAACTCAAAGTGCTGAGACAGAGCGAAGCCATTATTTCACCAAGAATGACCTCCAGCACAGACTTGGAGAGGAGTTCTTCAACCAGTCTTGCATCAGACTGGCTAAAGCATTCCTCGGCAAGGTAATCACCTTATGTTTACATCTGTTGTCGCTCTGTAGGGGATGTGCTGTTACAAAGTTTGTGTCAGTGTAGTTCAAACGTTTTTACGATACAGAATTACATACAGTCTTTCAACACTATAATTTATCAAAACTACAGTAACCTGAGACAAGACAGTCTTAGTGTTGCCACCTGTGGTTACTTTGTACATAAGACGTATTTCAGTTAATTACACACAGCTACAACCTCACTTCAACCACAGCAAAATGCATCCAGACCACTCTCCTTAAATGTAGGGCTGCAATCGAAGATTGTTTTCACGAGTAATCGTTTGGTCTTTAAAGTGTCAGCAAATGGTGAAATATGCCCATTACAAGCTCCCAGAACCCCATGATCAAATGTGTTGTTGTGTGGATCCATCACAAGATAAATCAGTTTACTATCACAGAAAGCTTAAAATGTGAACATATTGACATTTGACACGCTTGAGCCAGGGATTCTGTTGCCATTTTAGCTTTATTTTTTTTAATGAATTGACTAATGATAATAATACACAGAACATACTCTGTCTTGTTCTTTGTCCCTGCAGGTGTTGGTCCGCAGGTGTGCAGATGGTACTGAGCTTCGAGGAAGAATAGTGGAAACTGAAGCCTATCTCGGAGGGGAGGATAAAGCCTCACACTCAGCAGGAGGCAAACGCACTGAGAGAAACACAGCTATGTTCATGAAACCAGGCACAATCTATGTGTATCCAATCTATGGCATCTACCTTTGTATGAACGTGTCTAGTGAAGGTAAAAGCGTTTCCTACCAAAGGTATTCATTATGATAGCCATTTTGCCTCCTGATTAATGCAAACAGAATTCAATGTTGTAAAGCCTTTTTAGGTTTAATGTGCCCTCCTCCAAGTGGTATCATTAATACAACATTAAATCTATACAGTGATGTTTTTAATTTCCAGTGGGTAAAGGGCGAAAGGAAGGAGACAGAGAGGAGCCTTCATGACTGATGCATATTGTGTGCTTTCACAGGGGAGGGTGCAGCCGTGCTGCTGCGCTCACTTGAGCCCCTGCAGGGTCAGCCTGTCATGAGGCAGCTGAGGACAGCCAGGCGTAAAGACGGAGCCAGACAACTGAAGGACAAAGAGCTCTGCAACGGGCCTTCAAAGCTGTGCCAGGCTCTAGATATACACCGCTGTTTTGACCGTCGAGACCTAGCCTCAGACCACGAGGTGTGGCTGGAGAGGGACCCTAACGCAAATCCAGCAGAACCCAGTGATATAGTATCAGCACCACGCATTGGAATTGAGTCCCATGGGGAATGGGCCAAGAGGCCATGGCGGTTTTATCTTCGTGGGCACCCCTGTGTTAGCGTAGTGAGTAAAGACGCAGAAATACAGTCTCTGTCTGGAAATGTAATGAACGATTTAGGTCCTTCAGATGTGCAGTCTGACAAAGGGCAGCACAATGTCAAAAGGACTTAACAATATTTCATAAACTGCTCTGCCATCTGTTCCCTTTTTGGACATCACCATTTAAACAGGATAAAAACTTTTCTGTTATTACAGTTGGGATAGACTACTTCTTACACATTAAATTAATACATTTGGAAATAATTCAAGATGGTACAATAACTTCCATGACTGGTTGAAATACTAGTCTAAATACTAATCTGCATAAATTATAAAATTTTTTCCTTATCCATATAAGCTGCTACTTGTTTCGACACAGCGTATTTATGGTACTGAGGCAAAGTTGTACTGGAAACTAATAGACTAAAATTTAAGTCGGCTAGAGTAAGACATGATTAATCAGTGCCTATTTAAAAAATCTGTTCTGAAACATACCTTTACTCACTCATGTGTTTTTTTTTGTTGGTCTTCCATCTGTGTTTTTTAATAAACATTCAAACTTGAGAAATTCTCTTCTCAGTGATTTCACAGATGTTTGGAACGCTCTGCTTCCCTCAAAGCAAAAACCTGTCTGATGTTTAGAGTCTTCCCTTTCTTGCTGTCTTTCTCGCCCCACCTCTGGGATTCCTGAAGAGAGGTAGCTGGAGGTCTGGAATGATCATTACTCAGTGTGCCCCTCTGTGGTCGGTACAGATGATCTAACACATCTGGGACTGGAGAAGATGAAGTTAAACCCCCACTACACCAATCTTTCCACTATTCAAAGTAAACATTTGAGGTGTTTCTGTTATGTACAAAATAATTTAATATTGTAAACAAACATTGGCTAATAAAGGAAAAAACACTTTCTACATTTGTAAATCTGCACACATTAATGCAATCATTGTGTCATTCATTTTAAAACGTTGTTGAGAAATAGCACTTAGCTGTGAGCACAGCAGGCTATCAAACACTCTCAAACTGACATCTTTTTCGGTTGGTAAGAGCTAATACTGTCTCTGTGCCACTACTCCATGGGTGACTGAAAGATTGAAATAATGGGATCCTCATGGTTGGTCACCACAAGGACACTGCGGAACTTGTCAAACAGTGTCTTGAGCTGCGAGCGCCTCATGTTCTCATTGTACATAATCTCTTCCAGGTGGTGATGTCCCCGGAAATAGTGAAGCAGCCTGGAAGCAGACAACATAGCAGGCAGAAAAATGGGTGTCACTGAATTATTAGCTGTGTAAATCAACCATGAAACAGGACTTTTCTGCATTTTTCATTATTGTGTAGTTGGTAGCATGCAACGCTGATTACCAGATTGATAAGCTTTATGGACATTTTCTATTTCAATACTGTTGTGGGTGTGTGGTCTCAACTCTCCAGGCAATATTTTCCAATTAAATTTCCCAATATTCTGTGAATGCAATTAACTTCACATTATTTTCCAAACCAGTGCACACATATCTTCTTAATGCCTAAGAGACAACGAATTAACATGATTTAAAACATCATTAGTCACTAAATCTTATCCCATCTGTTAAGGTGCCTTTAGACTGTGCTACAACAGCAATGGTGTCATAAGTCACACTGTGCGAGATAGGTCTAATAAAATCCTGGTTGCAATCTATATCAGACAGTGCAATATCAATTTGAGGCAACTCCGCTTGTGCAATGAATGTGTATTGAGTCCCACAAACGTGTTAGCTTCCCTTATTTTGGTTTGTGTGTTTTTTAAACGTTATAAAAAAATGCTGCCTCGATATGACGCACAGTGTGTATTTTGGTCGGTTTGAGTAGATCTGGGTCGTAGTGGTCGTCACATTGGGAGAATTAGGTCTAAAATTTCTGCCACATTTTTGCCACAGGCTGTCTTTTGGTCACTACAGCTCCAATCCAACCATCAGTGGATGTGCCAATGCAATCTAGGACCACTATTTAGAATTAAACACAGGAAAATTTTAATATGTTTCTCTCATGATTGTCAACTTTTGCACAGTATAAAAGCTGAGAGTAATGGAGAGCTGAGAAACATTTAATGCACTAACAAAAATGCACAGAATATGCAGAAAAGGCTTCTTTTATAGGCAGGTTTCATTACCTGGCAAACATCCGTAGATCTTCTGGATTTTGTGCAGCAGGGATGTTAAGAATAACCTGCCTCTCATGCTCTGACAGGCTGGCAAGCAGTGTCTCTGTCATCCTCTTGTTGAGTGGAGAGTCACCACCAGGCAGTAACTCTGCACTGGAGTTGTCCATACTAGGACTGGTGAGGGTCATGTCATCACTGCTGGCTGTACACAGGAAGCATACAGATGATCATAGATAATCTTTTACCCTGTTATACTTCTTAAGAGTTGGGCAGTAGAGAGTAGAGTGAGGACATACTTGGGGAACCGAAGCTGAGAGCACTAGGGGTGCTGAGGCTGCGGCCTCCAACTCTGGCAGCCAGTGGAAGGTCTTCATCCCTCAACCCGGGCTCATCCTCGCTGGGCGGTACCAACAGGCAGACATAAGTATGAAGCTGAATCAGCAGGCGGCGCTGGAGCATCCACACCACCATCTGGATCAGCTGGGCCTGGTAAGGAAAAAAAGCAGCAAACTGCATCAGGATAACCACTGAACAAGTGAAACTGAACACCCTCATGTCCCTAACCAGGTTAAAAATGATTTCATTCAGCAGTGGGTACCACACAAACCCAAAATAGAGCCAAAAGAAAAAGCCTTGGTTCTGATGTTGTTCTCATGAAAAATGGATGCTGCAGACGCTGGAGCTGATGTGCCTTTGTCATTTATAATTCATCACTGACGCTCAAACAGCTCTGCCGAAACACGATGGGTCACCGAAGAACACCAAATGGTTCTGCTCTTACAATACAGTATCTAACTCTAGTAATAGTAATAGCCCTATACATACTATTTCTTCAGACTAGAAATATTATTTCACAAGTACAGTTGTTTTAAATAACTTCACTTTGTTCACTGACTTCTGTTCTTTCTGGTAAATATAAATATAGATCCTTATTTCACCAACATAGAAAACAAAGTGCACTTAAATTAAACACCACTCACTTTTCCACAGTTATCCATATATTACTATAATTTAGTAATGTTCTATATAGCTTTTTTGCAACAAAACAATTTAGAACTTGATACTCTGCTGGCTGGCATAAGGTACATATATGTGTAGTGTGTGTGTGTGTGTGTGTGTGTGTTCCAGTGTAGAGGGCTAAGGTTATTTGCTGTGTATTTGTACTTGTACAATAGTCCTACCTCCTGTGCAGGAGCTTCCAGGGGGTTTCTGAACTCAGCCAGTGAGACAGGCAGTGAAAACTTTGCTAACGTGGAGGGAAGATCATGACCAGGAAACTGCTGGGCAAACTGCTCAGCTAGTGGTGAGTATCTATCCAAAGACAGATGGTGCACATTATCGACAAGAGAGAACTTTTTCCATTAACGTAGCTTTTTTGAAATAATTTTCCAGAATGTTGTAAAAAAAAAAAGGCTGTGACAAGTGCTGCTAATGGCACAATCCAGCTCTTCCATAACACATTTTGGGGTGATTTAACAAGTACAGGCTTTGGAAATCTGAATTTAATAAAAATAAAGTATAAGGAAAATGGCATGGATGGGTGCAATATTATGGTTCATTAGCTCTACAGTAATCAGAGCAGCCAAATGGCCTACAGCACACCATGAACACTCACAGGCAGATGTTGGCATGAGGAGACAGCATGTAGACGTTGTTCTCACACAGTGGGTAGATGATGATCGCTTTGCCCCAATAAACCAAGTGAGCAGCAATTTGAAAGATCTAAGAGGGGAAATTATTTGCAAATAATGTAAATGATGTGAAATAAGACTAAATAAAGTGCTCTGCAACTGTAAACCAACGATAGAAGGAAGATGGAAGCTTCTTGTACTACTCACACTTGTGTACTCTCAGATTTGCTTTGACTGTACATATATTGTCCACTAGATGTCAGTAACACACCATCAAAACAGTAACCTCTAGGTAAACCACTTCGAAGTCTAACTTTTAATAGTGCTACATATAGCTAAAGGGGCCATGCTCATTGATTATGCCCATATATTATGCATGTACCATATGTATAACTTTA